ACATCATCAGCCCGCCCGAGGGCCCTTCCCAGAGCCCGGGGAGGATGTGCTGGCGCCCTGCCTTGGGAAGAGGGCCGGTACCCTGCCCCTGGCCTGTGCGGACGCAAAAGCTTTTAACTGCTGCTTTTTAAAATCTGTGTTTATCGACTGACAGGTTTAAAACTGGCCGGCTCGAGTCCCCGCTGTTAGTTTCAGTATCACACGTGGCTGAGCAAAAGGCTTTGAACACACCTGCTAAAGACACTTGAGGGGGGGGTGTTTGCTTTTTCTGGCTTTGGCCGGTCCCTCCATACGCTTGTCCTGCTCAAGGATTCTTATTTCCCCGTAAAGCTTTAAAAAATATTTATAATAAATGTGTATTCGTAGCGATTAGATCTTCTCCAGGCTTGTGTAAATCAATCACGCATTCACTTCTACTCTTTCATTTTTAAAAAACACCCCTGTAATATTGTGTGTGTGTTTTGAAAATCCTCAGCCCAGCCTGCACGTGCTCTGAACTGCAGACAGAACTTTGTCCTGCGGCCACTGTTTGTATGAATTGTGCCTGCCCAGTGTTTGAATGTACGCCACTCTGCTCTGTAAAAGCAAAGAGGCAATGAACTGCCTGACTGCACTTGTCTTGGAGCCTTGCTCTGAAGCAGGTTTCTTTTCTGAATAGTATTCTGGTTCTGATCAAACATATGGATATAGTAGTACGGGGTATTGAGGAGGTCGTATCAAAAAATGCTTTGTAATATTTTTAAAACTTGAATGGAAAGAAGTGCAAAAATAATAACTTTTTAACTGCCTGTGAAAATGTATTGTGTTCTGATACCAGTAGGTGAAAAGGACGTGAAAAAGATTTATTAAACTTACTAGTCTGAAAAGGAACGGTATGCGCTAAATTAATTTCCTGGCAATAGCAATGTCTCCTTATTTTCACATTTGTAACGACAAAACAAAATGAAAATATTTTAATATGGTGACATGTTAGAAAAATTAAACAATAGCTTTCAAGGCAAGTTGTTTGCACTCTGCAAATTTAAGCATTGCTCTTGGAATGCTGGACTTGTTATCCAGCTGTAAACGTCTTAGTTTTTAACATACTGGCACATAAACGAGTAGTTCAGAAAGCTAAAATTCTTAAATATTGGTTTGAAAATTGCAGTACAATGTCAGTTTTCTGTTACTGGACATTGAAAAGGCATTCTTGTATTTGCATTTTGCTTTGGTAGGTTCAGGTTTACTTGCTGCAGCTCAAGATGCTACAGAAGATGAAGAAGCTGTGGAGGATACTGTAGTTGAAGATGAAGATGACGAAGCTGAAGTTGAAGAAGATGAGCCAACAGACTTGGTAATTGTACACTAAATGAGAACCACTTTTTAGGGAGTTTCTTTTATTTATCACTGAAATAGAAGACACAGTTTTGCATCTTGAAATCAAGATGCTGAGTGCTCTGCTCCAGTTCATGCCTTCCCTGGATCGTGGTACATGCAAGACTGATCCAGCAGGTTGTCCATTGCTTCAGGTGGTTGTTTAAGCAGTGAAATCAAATGGTCTAACTCATGAGCAACTAGTTCAGACAGTTCAAAATCGAGTCAGCCTTGGTTTTGTTTGGTAGGGGAGGCAGTGATCCCACGATCCCCATGTGGAAAATAAGCCTTTAACGCTTGCATTTGCCAAATTAAAAAGTCAGTCATCACAAAGGTGAGCTTGAACAAGTGAATCCTTCCGACAGTAACTATTTACAGATGTACGTATCAACTAATTAAAACCTAGTAGAAAGCTTCTATAAACACTCCCTCTAGCGCAAATAACTCATTTGCCTTATGTCTGCATATAGTTTTGGAAATGCTTGTTTTCTGAATAGAAATAGCTTAGATGTTATTGCTTAGCACAGATTCTATTCTTTTTCTGATAAGAAGCCTTTCAGTACAGCTGAGTGCAGTTGAGATTAGTCACTATGTCAAATACGACAAGTAGAAGGATAAATGCTGAAAGTGGTGCTGGTCAAATCTGAAGGGAGAACAGACTATGTGCTAATCCTGCAGCAGCAGGAATTGATACTAATACTTTCTATTGTTGCGTGCTTGGACACCTGGGATTCTCATGAAACAAGTGTGGTTTTTGCTTCACTGTTCATTATAGGATTTTTTCAAAAAAGTCTCTTGTCTTAGACAGAAGAAAAAGAGGAAGAAGACTTGTCAGGAGAACCCAAAGCCTCACCTAGTGCTGATACAACCATCCTATTTGTGAAAGGTGAAGGTAAGAGTCCTGTGCTAATATACAGTTTTCATTGTTGCTTAGACTGTATCAGTGTGTGCATAAACCAGTGAAGCTCTTAAAAAAAAAAAAAATCTGCCGTGACATTCTCTGTTTAGAAATAGGCTAGATGCAGTGTAAGAAGTTTCTAATGGCTGAATATTTTTTTATTTTAGATTTTCCAGCGAACAACATTGTAAAATTCCTGGTGGGCTTCACCAATAAGGGTGCAGAGGATTTCATTGTCGAGTCTCTTGATGCTTCTTTCCGATATCCTCAAGACTACCAGTTTTACATCCAGAACTTCACAGCTCTCCCCCTGAATACGCTCGTTCCGCCACAGAGACAAGCCACGTTTGAGTACTCTTTCATCCCTGCCGAGCCGATGGGTGGCCGTCCTTTCGGACTAGTTATCAATCTCAACTACAGAGATGTCAATGTAAGCCTGATGTTGTAATTAATTCTAGTCTTTCTAGTCGATGTGGAAACACCAGGAAGAAACTGCTTCGTCAAGTTACTGCCTCTTCACACAGTGAATGCCTTTGTGGGTTTTAAGCAAATCAGTAGATACAGAAGCACCATAAGCAACTGTCTACATGTTTTGCAATAGCCCCCCCACGTACTTTTAATTCTGTATTAGTTACACTTGAAGTTACATCAGGAGTGGAAGCTAGAGTGTCTTACGACTGTGTAGTAGTGGGCTGTACTTGTTTGGGAAAAAAACAACACAAAACTAAAGCTTTCTTTAGAATAACTTAAGTTTCACTGTGCTTTTCAAATTGGGCTTTGCTAACAGACTTAACCATTAACCTAAATCCCATCTGCAACTTGGCTTTGAGCAAATAACCGACAAGCAGTTGTAATCCAGGGGAAGACGATCCAAATGCATAAAAGGGGATTAAAATAGGGGATTCTTCTTTCTTTCAGTGCAGGTCAAAGTTAAAAAGGCTCCTGTGCCTTTGTGTTCCGATTGTTCTAAACCCTTAGTATGTAATATACCATAGGAAATAGCATCTTGAAGGGTAGGATGTGACTTTCTTGCCAATATTAAGACTGTGCTCTGTGGTTGCACCAAAAAGTTTTGCAGTTTTACATGTTGAGTAAAAAGTCTTACGTAAGAGTTACTGCTTTATAGAGTTTTTCCAAGAACAAGGAAGAGACAAACATTTGTGCATGTGTTCAAGAGATGAATTTAAAACCTTACGTGCAACCTTTGTTACAGGGCAATGTGTTTCAAGATGCTGTCTTCAATCAAACGGTTACAATTATTGAGAAAGAAGATGGACTGGATGGAGAAACGTAAGGAGACTGGAGGGTCAGGTTTAGTTGGTATACTGGTAGAACAGGTTATTGACAGCTAATATTAAAATCTGTATTAATACCAGGGATCTGCAGCATTGGCCCTGTGTCAGTAAGCAGTTTCCACATCTGTTTTTGGCTCAGAGGGCTTAACCCTGGAATAGGACCCAATAGCTCCATAGCAATTCAAAGCTGTTACAGGCTTTCGTTGTGCTACTGTGTTTTTTCCCAAGAGTTAAAGATGCAGAGGGTTCATAGTATCAGGCTGTGGGTCCTGCCATGAAGACAAGAGAAATGACTTGCTTCTAGAACACTCCATTATAATCTGAGATGCTATCAACTGAAATATATTTTTGCAGTATGAGAGCACCTCTTTCAGGAGTGCTTTTTTCTGTCTTAAAGACTGACACCTTATGTGTTGCAAGCATGTACTTTTAAGTATTCTGACTCTGGAGTGGAATTAAAAAAATAAATAGTTGTAGACAATGCTGAATATTTCAGTTCTTTTGCCATAGGTAGAAGTTGCCTGTTGAGCAAACTTCCCTTTAAACAAGGTCAAATAGAATAGAATCAATGAAAGATCAATTGGTCACACAAAGACTAATATTCTGATAAAGGAGCTCTCAGAAGGATTCAGATTATTAGAATCAATTTGAGTTAATGACCTGCGAATAGGTGATTACCCTAAAACTGGAATGTTCAGTTATTGCTCTTCTGTAGTTTAGCTCCATAATCTCCTTTATCAAAAAGGTGACTTAAAATGTACAACTTGGAATAGATTCTTTACCTGTAGAATCTTGCCTGCTCCCCAAATTAATTCTAGATTGAACTCATGTTCACCTCTTGCTAAGTATCAACAGGTATTTTGGGTAGAATTCTTCAAAACAAACAAATGCACAGGTTTAAAAACTTGTTTGCATTTGTAGAATTTTAACTGTGAAATGCAGAGCAAGATAAGATAAGCAAGGACTTTCTGCTGCCAATAGATGAGTATCCTAGCAAAACTTGCTTTGCAGTAGCATACTGAAAGCATGTAAGAGATTTTTAAGGGTTTTGTAAGTGGTTAAAGCTCTCGCAAACATAAATATTAACAAGTGAGCCAAGGTCTTTAAACACGATCCTGCAGAAGAGTTCTTGCAGCTACTGATTTTCAGTATTTATAACAGTTTCTCAGTTTATATGGCATTATTCAAATGTTCTTTTGTTCAGAATTAAACTTCAGATTACAGTTTGTGAAACTGCAGCCAGAATAATTACTAAGTATTTGTTAGCACTTCAGTTTCAGGTTAATGTGTCGCGGTTTTTTTTTCCCTCACTCACCCTCTACAAAAGTTCTTGGGAAAGATCAAGTGGGCCTGTGGCCAAAGCTAGGCTTAATTTCTATGCCTCTGTAAATGCTCTTAAACACTTAAGATATTTTTTTTTTTTTAGTTAATTGTTTCTTAACCTATTTTTTTAAAGGATCTTCATGTACATGTTCCTTGCTGGACTCGGTCTACTTGTCATTGTTGGCTTACATCAGTTACTAGAATCCAGGAAGGTGAGTGGTGTAATTTGTCTATGTACTTGTTCAGTATGAAGAGAAAGCAATTCAGTAATCGCTTCTGGCATACGATGGTGCAGGTAGAACTGCAGCAGATTTACTTTTAGATGCAAGACCTTAAAGATTTCTGTGAAAACTAGAGAGGTTTTAAAAAAAATACTCTTAACTGGAGACATTTGGATTGCTTACCCAGTGCTCTTTGGGTCTGCTCTTTGGCGCCAGACTGCAGGGCTTGGGTTGGAGCTTTGATACCTCTCAGTCACTGGATGCGTGCACCTACCGATTCAATACTCGCTGAGCAGCCTTTCCCCATACTCTCTATTTAAGTCTATTAGTTTGATTTAGGTCAAACTTTGAGGAGAACAGACGTCTAGTCCTTTATTTAGTTCCTATCACTGCTTTGGTATAATGTTGATTAGGGCCTTCTGGGTTCCATTTGTAATGCTGTTCACAGCTAAGGGTTTGTCTGGTTTAAGTGGTCTGGCAAGTCCAAGCTGCTGAAAGCTTAAGTCTCATCTGTGTGTAATGTATCGGTTATGTCTTTGTGCAGTCTGGCTCAAAATACTTCTTGAAGTACCTTCCCTTGGGAACAAGTGTGGAGTGGTTATTGTGCTTTAAAATCTATTATGCCAAGTGACATACGAGGATGCTGTACTAATCTAAGAAAGTCTAGTGAAACCAGTCACCTCAAAGTTTGATTATTAAGTCAGACATTTTTTGTAACAGGTATATAACGAACTTGCCCAGGCATGTATGAAATCCTGGTATCTTTGTGTGGAAATTGTGAGGCATTAGAAGCGGTAATGCCAAACTTTGAATAAAAGATGGCTAAAGCTGAGCTACAAAGACAGCGTCATGTATGACTAGCCTTAAGTTCATCTCTTAGTGAAATAACTGCAATTCGTTAAATATAGCATTACTAGTTATTTCTAATACTTGTGCTATCAAAACCTTGTGGAAATAAAACTTGTTTCTTCCTTGACTTTTCAGAGGAAAAGACCAGTACAGAAAGTAGAGATGGGAACATCAAATCAGAATGATGTTGATATGAGCTGGATTCCCCAAGAAACTTTAAATCAAATAAGTAAGTAATCCACCTTCCACAAACTAGAGTGGAACAAACTTAATTGATTAGTTGTAACTGCATAAGTAGCTGATACAGCTTTCTCAGAACAGCATACATCTCTCCTAGGGAATAAAGATATTTCTGAGGCACTGTCATGCTTAACGATCCGATTATTACATTACCAGCCTACTCTTGTGTAGAAAAGACTTCACTGATTGATACAGTAACAACTATTGGTGACTTTTGCAATTTGTTCTTAGATTTTTTTTTTTTCAACAGTATAAAATATCTATCTAAAACCTGGATCACAAAGGAGGTTTAAATAGAAAAATATACTTGTCATCTCAGAGTTCCTGTAAGTTGTTTGGAAGTTTCCCTGTAAATCAGAGTTTTAAATAAGCATTAGAAGTGGGTACGAACTAAAGCCACAGTAAGACTTGGTATTACTGCCCTTCACAAGTCCAGAATGGTTAAGTTCAGTTTGATAAATGCCAACAGTCACCCCAATAGCTGATTTCTTTACACCATTTGTGTATTTGTATATTTCTAACTTCTCTTGCTGTTTCTTCTGTTTTGCTTTCCCTTGGCTTCAGTGCAGAGTAGAAGAGGTGAGGCAAACTCTGCTGATGTAGTGACTGGAAGTGCTTCATGTGTGTCCTTGTGGTCGTTAGGCATGGCTGGAAGTACAGCTTCCTGCATGTAGCCATTCACTGAGCATGAGCAGTGAAGGAGAACAGAACAGATGCATGCAACTAGACAGTCACATTTTGGATACATCTAAACTTACGGTTTTGTATTATAAATCTGTGAATATATTCCTGGTTATGTTATAGTAACATAGTTGCAGTTGGGTATTGCTGAATTCCCCTCAAAAACAGTTTTTGGAAGCCCTTCTATAAAGTGCAGATGTGCATCTTGCCTTCCTGCTGCCTTGGTGCGGTGTCAAGCTGGTGCTACATGAGGCGGATGGAGGACAAACCATGACCAGTGGCTGAGTGCATTTCCTTTCGGGGAGCACCAAACCTCAGCTTTGGGTGTCATTAATAGCCACGTTTATTTTCCTGGGTTTTCCCTCTCACATGTGAACTCCTATCACCAGGAGCACTGGCCAGTGTGAGGTGTGATAGCCTTTCTTAAATCAAAGTACATTCTAAACGAGAGAAGTGCTATGAAAACCCTTTAAAAAACTACCTTTACTTGAAAAACTCTCCTGATAAAATAAGTGTATTCTGAGCTTTTTTCAGGGTAAAAGGGCTAGAGGCCTTGGCTCTGCCACAAAGTTGTGCCAGGAGCTGATGACTTGACCTTTGGATTCCTCACCCTTTTTAACTGTACTTGTATTCCATAGCTTACATCTTCAGAAGTAAAACACCAGTCCTTATACCTTTCTTGTACACTGCCTTCTGCAAGACACAAGAATGGTGGGGTAAAATCTCAACACAGGAATTTGAAAAGCCTCAATCTAGCAAAGACCAAAACTCTAAATGCTATTTTTTTTCCCAAGAGCAAGCTGTATTTAAGTGGGTTCAAACCCTAGCATCCTTTACGCTAAATAGGCATTCATAACTTAACACCAAAAGTCTAGGAAAAGCTGATACTGAATTTGTTCTTAATTGTGACTTTCTTTAGCTCCAGGTTAGTTTAAATTAGAACTCTGTACTAGAATCCTTGGAAATACATGGCCTTCAAGATGCTTAGAGGTTCTTGACTATTGGTGAAAGACACTTCATGCTCTACTGATTGGCTTGTAATGGTGTGATGGCCGCTCCTTGTGCTTGCGTATACTCTACACAGTGAAATTACTGGATATGCTTCTGCTTAAGAAAATGTGTGTTTTTAAGTCAACAGATAGACTTAGCAATTGCTTTAGCACTTTGTATGAAGTATTGTAGCTTCTCCACAATATTACAAGGATTGAAATTCTACCTACCTGCCATAAAGTCTTAATTGTAGGATGATGATGCTTCTGGCATTCCGTGATCATAGACCTAAAGCTGGGTGGCCTCCCTATATGAGATACCCAATTACAAAAGTGACCTCTTTATAGTGAAGTGTGGATGCTGCCTGGAAAAGTGGTTTGGTTTTTGTTTTTTCTTTTCCTGCAACCAAAAAACTTCGCTTCTGCTGTTAATTGGTTTGAATGTGGAAATATTTAATTCAAGACAAAGCTGTCTAAAGGAGGTTCTAAAAGAGTAATAATGAAGCAGGAAGCTTTTCTAAGCAGCAGAGCATCTGCATTAGAAGATGGTGTGGGGCTTGGTTTTGGGGTGGGTTTTTTTTTGTTTTGCATTTTAGTAACTGGCAAATCGATCAACCCTCATCCTGGAGCTGCATGTTACAGAAGAGGAACGTACCTTCTATTTAGGACGCTAATAGTTAAAAAGCCTTAGCAAGTTGTTTGAAGTGGTTCCTCTGTACTGGTGGCTACTACTACTGATGGTTACACTAGAAGGGCAGCTCAGCTTGTGTTTTGGGAGGGAGCAAGATACATGTTTGTGCAACATCTGATGTGAAGTAGCTGTAGCAATTGATGCAACTATCTTTTTTTTTTTTATTCTAGATAAAGCTTCACCAAGGAGGTTGCCCTACAAGAGGGCACAGAAGAGATCAGTGGGCTCTGATGAGTAAATGTTAACTAGTACAACAGTTGAACCTTTACTAATCCTGCCTGTTTGGGTTTTTTTGGATTGGAGTAGTGCAGAGAATCCATATCACCATAAGGAAAGTACGGCTAAACATGTGGACTGAGCAGATTAACTGAATGGTGTTAATATTACTGAAAATGCACTTCTCTTTTTTTTTTTTTTTTTAAAATGTTGGTGGGTGGGGGAGTTAGCCATTAAGATTTGTGCCTGCGTGTGTAAGCAGTTGGTCTTAACAGAACTATGTTACCTGAAATGTGCCTTTAGAGTTCTCTGTAATGCTGGCTTGTTGTCTGTACACTGCCTTTGAAAGCTTTTTCTCCTTCCCCTAATCTGAATGTTTAGTCACTTAATCCGTCTTGATTGTATCAAGTCTGTATCAGAATCTGTATGCATTTTTCTTTTTCAGTAAGTAACTTATTCTCTACAGTGCACACACACCGAAGCTTTTGTGTGTGGTCCTCTTCTGGCGGTGAGGCACTGATCATCTAGATTCCTGCATAGTTTGCATTCTAAAGGCACAACTGGGTATAGCTGCTCGTAGTGGTAGATCTTTTGCTACTCTTCTGATCTGGGCATGCAGTGATCTAAAAATCTGAATTTATCTGCATAGATGGTAGGAAGACTCTTACACAGCAGCAGAACTTGTGAAGCATGGAATTTGTGTGCTGAATTGGTTTTACTACATAAATTTTTTTATATACCCGACTTGTTAAATGGTTAGTTATTGAGTCATGACAGCAGCTTAGATATTCTGATTATAGTGGTAGCTCTGCAATGTTTACTGAAGAAATTATTGAATAAGCCAGAATAACTTTACATTAAGTTATTGGTTCTCTCACAAAAACTGGAGTATCTCATGTGTCAAAATTTGGCCTTGTAAAGCTTTACGTGGGGCAGGGACTTTGTGTTTACTGTACACACTTGAAACTGAATATGAAAAACTGTTGGCTTCAAATAGTCTTTTTAAATAGCAAACTATTTAATTCACCCTTTTCAGTTTTAAAACCTTGGAACTCCTTTCCACTGGTCAGTACATGAGTTTGAGTTACTTTTTTATCACCTTGTCTTTCCTTCTAGTAACACAGATGCACATCCGTTATTAACTACATGCTAGCTCAGTACTAAAGCAGAAAAGCTGCGTGCGATCAAAAGGTGATTTTTCTTTTGTGGCAGGTACAACTTACACGATTACCAGGTACTGAGGTACTGATGCACATCCACTGCGTTCAGGAATTGAACCGACAGTAAAAAGAGCAGATAGTGCAGGATTGTCAGTTTGCTGCCATTCGGGCAAGGCTTGAATTGTTTGCAGCTTGAGTGTGTCTCTTCCTGTGTCTGAAGCTTGTCAAGTTCAGGAACAGGCATAGATTTTGAGAGCCCAGTCTCTTATTTTCCTCCCCTTCCTGATCCCCACATGTGAAAGTGCTCTTCTAGATCTACACTTGCTCTGCAGGGACCGAGCCTCTGAGCCAGCAAAGGCTGAGTAATACTTTCAAATTGTGCTGTGGCACATTTGAAGCATCTGAGCTTTGAAACTGCCTGTCCTGGCACTATTTTACTACACGTATTGCCAGAATGAACCGTGAAGATGTTTCTTGACTCATCTTGCTACAGAAAAAAAAAATAGGAAAAGCAACCCCAAAGATGCTTTTCTTCAACTTTCTAATAATTTAGCTAGCCGAGGCAGAAAATTTTTAGTAGTTAAGGTTGCTGAATCATCACACAGGTCACTTAGCAAACGGTTTAAATGTTAACTTCATAAGAGGTACCTCCACTCAGAGCGTGTGGGACAGCTTTGCCTTCAGTGTTGTAACCTGACTGATTCTGTGGTAGGTTTAGGGGCTTATATTCAAGCTTCAGCAAAGTGTTTATGTATTAAACGTTTTACTGTACTGAAGCCCCTCAGCTACTGCAGTCCCTGATGTACTGAACTCCTAAGTTCACTCTCTCAGATGGTATTTAATCTGAAATTGAGAAAATTTAGTATTACTTGTTACCAGAAGGTGAAATAGAACTGTATACTCTTAATTTTTCCCAAGACAGAAAGGTACTCCTGTGAGAGTGGTGAGGAGAGCTTTTCTGGATGCAGTGGTACTAGAGCAAAAGAGACAAAGGGTCAGGACAGAGGCTGCTAGTTTGTACTATCCTAGTTCTGTTTCTTCAGAGAAATAGTTTAACCCTTACTGACTGAGTGTTGGAGGAAGCTAGGCCTTTAGAAATCTTACAGTGACCAGGACTGTAGAGCAGCTGAAGAACTGAAGCATTGTACAAATAAGAAGTGTTTAAATGTTTCAGCTTTCTTCTCTGCACCCAGTAGCTAAAACCCCAATCCTTAAGTTCTGAGCATGAGAGAAAAGAGGAGACAGCTTAGCAGCTTCCATAGGAACCAGCAATGGGAAAGTCAGGTTGTACCAAGAATTTCTGATCACACAATTTGACATTCACTGTGGATGGGTCATAGTAACTTTTCTCAGCCAGAAGCAGTTCTTAAGAACAGTGTCCAGCAGTCTGCTACTGCTCATGATAAATGAAATTACAGTTTTGAATTCTTTGTTTCTTGTAAGTTTGCTGTAGTTGAAATGGAGCAATAACATTCTGCTGTGTAGTGGTAATAGAACTTTGGTGTCTCTTCTATTATTTCCAGTGAGTAAGCTAGCCTACTGCACTGTTTTCTTCAAAAGGGAAGACATAGTTGCTGCTTTATCCTGTTGGTTAACAACTTTTATTTCAGTACTTGAATTTTCTACTCTATTTTTAAGCATCTACAGCTAGCTTAGTGTCACATGTATGTTACTGGATGTTGTTATTTTCAGCTGAGTAGGATATGGTTTCATTGACTTTAAGAACAAGCAGCAAATCTGCCTGTCTCTATGCCACCCCTTGCCACGTGGTAGCACAAGCATTTGTGTAATCGAGCATCCCTACCAGCCCAGTGTTCGGCAGGTACTGCCACACTGCTGCTTGTGTGAGGTTGTAACAGAGGAACAAGGACTGTGAGGGAAGATGTGGACTAGGATTTCTTCCTTATTAGTAAGAGACTAAATGGTTTTAGGCCACAAATAAACTGTGGCCTTAGCATGAAGGACCACTATTAATTCCTTTCTGGCAGTCCTTAACTACATGAAATAATTAGGAAGTCTGTACTTGGAGTACGAAAAACTGCTTTGGAGTACAGTGGTAGCAAAACATTAACATAGGTACACTTGACCTGCATTTGATACTCAGAGCTTTCTGCATGCTGCCTGCTTTGGGACAGCAGTTCCTTACTTCCCAGTATCATTTAATCTGAGGAAGAAGAGTGGCTGCTCTCAGACTGAAGGATGAAGTATCATCTTTAGTCCTCGCATACAAGATCAAGCTGTAGGCCATGGAGATGAATGGAGCAGACCAGTGCTGGCAGTGCTTCCTGTTTCAGAACAGCTGTGCTGAAGGTCTTCCTTGCCTTGGAATGGATCTAGTCAAAAGCATCGGGCACCGTTATTCCTGGGTGCCTGGTGCTAAGCAGACTGTTGCAGCTGAAAGCTCTGAATTCAGGGAAATGGCAGGAGAGCCCAGTATTGCTGTAGGCTGGCTGTCCCGCTTTGCAGTGTGCCTGATGTACCGAGCAGCAGTTCAGAGCCTGTTCTCCAGAGGAAGAACAGCACCTACCTCATAGGAGTGGCACAAGGGCTTTTTCGGGAGTGTTTTGAAGTTACTTGAGACTTGCACTTCAGTGGAGATAGGAAGACAGAGCACTAGAGTAACTTGATGGTAACTACATAGATTATATGCTATACCAGTTTAATCCTGATGTTAAACCAGCTTAATCCCTTCACTGAAGAGAATTTAGCAGCTTTAGACTAAGACTTCTCCTAAGTACACAGAGGAGTTGCAGTTAACCTAACAGAGGAGAGCAAAGCCAGAAAGATCTTTCAGTTTCTGCAAGAGTTTATAGGTGGGCTGAATAACATTCCTCTGACATTTTTCCATTTATCTCTAAATTTTTCCAGGGATCCTTTTTTAATCAAGTGATACAGATGATTTTAATTTTTTTTTGTATAGATAAAATTAGCAATCATCTTAAGACTGACTGATTGTTTTGGATGAATAAGTTCAGGTGATGTACTGCAATTGAAATGTTAAATTAACACTTTCTTACTTACTGAATTTCATTTATAAAGTAAGATCAGATCCCTTGCAAATGGCTGGAGTTGTTTTGTAAAGTTGATTTTTTTTCTTTAGCGTTGTGTAGCTCTTTTTTTGTGTAGCTTTTTTTTTTAAAAAAAATAAAACATGAGTATGGCACCAAAAAGCCTGAAGTGGTATGCTGGTGCTCTTTTCCTTGATAAGCAGCCTATAGCAGCAAATATGCAAAGAGTGAAAGCATGCTGTTCTTTAAAAGCTGCTTCTCTACAAGCATGTTTGGAGTGGGAATAATAGCAAGGAAGCGTTCTGTGATGTTTTGGACAATGGACTAATACTAAGATAGAAATTCTCTGTAAGAATAAGGGAGAGCCCTGAGAAAATGTTCAGTAAATTTTTGAATCCTGATGGATTAAAACTGAGCCATAGTTCCCCGCTGTGCCCCGAAAGAATAACCTGTTAAACTCTAGGCAGAGCAAGTGGGGTCAGCGAGGGTGCTTAGCAGCTGCTGAAGCACAAGGTTTAGAACAAGGCCACATCTGTGGAGCTTTTAAGTACATGACATGGTATGACCCAGCAAACTATAGCAGTCCAGGCAATAATACTGAAAGTAGCAGTTCAGGCAGGTGTGCTGCATCCAAACAGGAGGTAAAGCTTGCTGGGGGAAAAAAGTGAACAAAAGCAAAACAAAAAATGGTTTAAAAATAAAGGATGCTGAGACTCCTGTATTTGTGAGCTATGTCTGTGAGTAAATGAGGGAAATGTTTAAAAGCATCTGCTTTAAGGTGTTGGTCTTGTTTTAGCTCCCAGAGAACATAAAAAGAGCTCTCAAAGTTGAAGTCTGCCTCATCTTTCTCTGAAAATATTGAAATAGATTTTTGAGACTTTGTGTTGGTCTCTGTTCTTTCCAAGCCAGTCATTACAGCCTAATTTCAGTAGGCTTTCTCTTCCCTCCTGTTAGTAGCCTTGATGTTGTTTTGTATTAACCAAGATGCAGTAGAATGGCAGCATTACAACATTCCAGTCCCTTACCAGGTGAAGGAAAACTGAAACTTAAACCTATCTTTCCTCATGATTTTTGGTCTGTTCAGCTTATGCGGCAACCACAGCTTGTCCTGCCTTAACTGAGTTTTCACATAACAGAACTGGCTTTTTCACATAGTGAGGAGGATACTTGGAGTTAATGTCTGTGGCCACATGAGTGTCTGAACAAGAGAAATTCTCAAGATAACCTCAGTGTAGATTCGAGTAAAACAGCCACAGGCCTGCCCTGCAGGGCCTGAGAGGAGCCAGACAGTCTTGTTCTCAGTCAGATGAAGTCGCGTGAGTGGACCATGTGCAAGGAAAGCATTTACCCTGATGATAAAATACACCACTGGGTTCCTTAGACCGCAGTTATTATAGCCGGCAATACCAAAAGCTGCCAGCTGAGGGATCTCCCAAGCCACTGACAGCTGCTTCTCCCAACAGAAACCCGGGAGCTCTTCAGTCCCTTCTCAAAGAGCAGCATCTCAAGCGACTGTGTCTGGCTTTTCTTAATCGTTCCTTGCTATATCTCAATCACTGAAGTAAACCTGAAA